TCTTGTTTTTTTTTTTTTTTTGGTCAATCAAATTATATTTCTATTATTTGAAAAGAATGAAGTTTACAGGAATCAAAGTAATTACATATTATTTTAACAGAAAAACACAGATCAAAAGAAAACACCCTACAATAAAGTAAAACACAGGAGCCAAAATTATCCTACTCCTTAACGTGTTTCCTTTTTGCACATTCTTTCCAAAATCTCAGTAGGCCACCACATCCAATCAAGAGAAAGCATATCCCTGTTTTTCTGTTTCGCAACTAAATGTGCAATCTTATTGTTTTTTCTACTCACATATTGTATTTCAATCTTAGGAATCAAATGTATGTATTTTCAAATATCCCTCAGGATAGCCTCAATCTCCCTCAAAAAGCAATTATTACCATTATTCAAAGCATCAACACATGTTTTTGAGTCTGACTCCACTATTAGTGAAGGATGCCCTATAGCTATGGCTATACAACAAGCCTGTCTAATGGCACATGCTTCCACTATTATGGCTGAGTTTGCAGCAAGTTTACCTGAACTTCCCTGTATTAAGATTCCTTCACTGTCTCTAAAGACTACTCCAAAGGCCCCTCTTTTCTGATCTTGCAACCAAGCCCCATCACAATTAACTTTTATCCAACCCTTTGGTGGAACTTTCCATACATCTATTTTACTCTCTTTCTTCTTACCAGTATCATGCTCATTCATAACATAGCCCCTCCATTCCTCAACGGCAAAGATAGCTTGGCTTATCACTCATCTGGGCAAAATTTGAACCTAATTATATACCTAATTATTTCTGCATTTCCGTATAGCCCACAACAGTGAAGCTACTAGTGTCTAATGACACAATCCTTCCTCACCTTTACCCTGTTGTTTCAGCACCTCCAAAACTCACTCTTCAAACCAGTGTTATTTAAGGCGTTAAGCGAACCGAAGCGACCAAGGCTCTTAACGCCTAGGCGAGAAGCGAGAAGCGAAGCGAAACGATTTACCAAAGCGAAGCGAGCAGTTAAAAAAATAAATAAATATTTTAGTGTAATTACTTTTACACATCAAAGTTTTAATTTTATATATACTAAATATTTAAATACAAGTAAAACCATAAACATTTAAAGTAAAACCATAAAAATTTAAATTAAAATAAACACTAATAATATTGCAAATCTTAATAACAGTCATAGTTTAAACATTTAAATTCATACAAATACTAATAATATCCCAAATCCTAATATTTAAAAACATAAGACACATAATTCAAGCAACTAAAGAAAATATCTCAAGGACTTAGAAATCAATCCTCATCACTAAAGAAATCATCTTCTTCATTATCCTTAGATTCATATCCCTCAGTATCCTCCTCCTCTGCCTCATCTGAAATTATGTCTTCCTCATCTGTGAGTCCAGTCGTCGATCTTGTAAACCTTGGTGTTACCCTAGTAGATGGTATTGATCTAGTCCGTTGACTACTTTCCGTAACTGCAGAAGCTCGAGCGACTTCGCCCCAAGTCAAAGTATCATCACCAAACACAAGCTCATTATCTTCATCTGTGTCTGCATCCATTCTCCCAATCAACCACTCATTGCTATCATCAATATCCTTCAAAGATATTGGATCAATTGTGTCACGAGAATCATATCGGCGCCTCAAAGCTCTATTATACTTAACAAACACCAAATCATTGAGACGGGATTGAGCTAGTCTATTTCTTTTTTTGGTGTGTATCTGCAATAATTTATTAACAATACATTAAAATTTATAATAAGATTAAAAAAAAATGTAATTGAAGAGGTTTGAGGATGATACTTACATGCTCAAACACACTCCAATTTCGCTCACAACCGGATGCACTACAAGTAAGGTTTAAAACTTTTTTTGCAAAGGTTTGCAAATTTGGAGTTGCAGACCCATATGCACTCCACCAATCAGCTGTGAATAATGAATAACAATTAATTAACTAACATATTTAAGCAATGATAATGAAATAAGCTTGTGGGATAACATAGATTACCTGGTGCCCTAGTTGTTCTTTGTCTAACCGCCATGGGCAACTTAAAGAGGTTTTCACCTTTCATGTAAATACTCAACTCTTGACCAATTTTATCTTGTATCGCAGGATTTGAGACCAACTTTTCCAAACATTTATATAGGCCATTCATGACTTCTTGATCTTTCTCAACATCTGGATTGGAATAGAAAAACTCTGGGTTCAAAAAATACCCAGCTGCATGCAAAGGCCGATGCAATTGAACTTCCCACCTTCGGTCAATGATTTCAAATATGTGTTTGTACTTCTCTTCATTGCCATTAAAAGAATTAGCAATCGCTTCTTTAGCCCGGTCCATAGCTTCATAAATGTACCCCATGGGAGGCTTTTTCTCACCATCAACCAATCGAAGCACACGGACAAGAGGGCCAGTAAGCTTAAGAGAGTAGACAACATTACTCCAAAATGAAGGCATTAAAATGATTTGTGCTGTCCTTTTGCCTTGTTGTTCTTTTGCCCATTTGCTTGTAGTCCATTCCTCTGAAGTGAACATTTTTCTCAAGTTACCTTTTTGTTGGTTGATCCTTGTTAGCGTAAGAAAAGCCGTAGCAAATCTAGTTTTTGCAGGCTTAATCAACTCCCTTGACTGGGTAAATCGTCTCATCATATTCAACAGAGTTGGACGGTTATAAATATAACCGTGTAATGCTATTCCTCTTTCAAATGTTCTCTTGAAGTTTGGCAATTTGAAGATATCTTCCAATACCAAGTCCAAGCAGTGGGCAGCACATGGCGTCCAATATAGATTTGGTCGTTTTGCCTCCAAAAACTTACCTATTAAATAAAGATTTTTTTAGCAACTAGTGTGCATAAAAAAAATTCAATATAACAAGTAGTTATCTTTTTTTTTTTTTCAAGAAGCTCATACCTGCTAACACATTTGCTGCCGCATTATCAGTGACAATTTGAATCACATTAGCTTCACCAATACGCTCTACAAAATTATCAAGCAATTCAAACATTTTTTGCCCATCCTTTGAGTATGCAGAAGCATCAACAGATTCAAAGAACATGGTCCCTTTTGGACAATTCACTAAGAAATTAATCAAGGTTCTCCCTCTCTTGTCAGTCCATCCATCGGCCATTATGGAACATCCATATTTTGCCCAATCCTCTTGGTGATCTTTCATCAATGACTTTATATGCCCTACTTCTTTGTTGAGCAATGGGACCCGAACCTCATGGTAAGAAGGGGGTTTCAAACCAGGACCATATTGTCCAAAAGTTTCAACCATTGCTGCAAAACTTTCATAGTTCACAACATTAAAGGGAATTCCCGTGTCATACATCCATCGGGCAAATGTTGTGATGGCTCTTTCTCTCATTTCCTTTCTAAAAGGATCGCTGGCATCAATATTCGTTTGTCTCCCCTTGGTCTTTCGATTTTGCACCACAACAGTCGGATCAGGGGTGAAGTATACATCCATAGGCCCTTTTTGTCTTGGTTTTTTTGGTCTCGATGTGGCTTGTGTAGAACCTTGACTAGAACTAGTCATGGATCTTTTACGATTCGCAACAATCTCTACAATATCATCTTCATCCTCCTCCAAGTCATTAGGCATCTCATCAAAGTCGGAAACCATGTTCATTAGATTCTTCTCTTCCTTTTTTTTAGCCATGTATTCTCTAATCTCCTCCCTAACATGAGCAGGGCATTTTGGACAAGTAATAACACTCGTAGAGTTCCCTGCTAGGTGTTGCTTGACCCGATAGACACCTCCATTTGACTCTTTTCCACAAAAATTGCATTTGAACTTGTTTGTGTTTTGAGGATTTACCAAGTGTGCATATTTCCATGCAGGATCTTTTTTGTTCCCTTCGGACGACGATGCCATTTATGAATAACACTATCACACTACAATCAAAGGAACAAAACACATTCACATGTACTGAATCACATTTTATATCAGTTGTAAACAATTTTATATTGACAGGACAGGACAACAAAAGAAGCAGAATCAAGACAGCAGTAGAATGCAACAACAAAAAAAAAACAGACGACTGAGGAAAAAAAAAATTGAAGCAGCACAGGAGCAATTTCATATTGACTGGACAGAAGCAGAATGCATTAAGTCTTGCATTTTCATTTGTTTGTATAATTCTTATGCAGTCTCCGACCATATTATTACCAATAAGATGCATGATTTGTTTGTTAAGTCACAAGAGGCCTTTAAAATCTTGCCATAAATGAGAGCAAAGATTGGTTATACAAAGACATCAATTAGCATGTTGTAGTGCTGGAAGTTCACATATATCTGTGTGAATAATATTTCAAGCAATGCATGGTGACTATCTCATTATTGAAGAGACAGGAAGACTACGACCGAATATTACAACTTTTTATGATTAAGTTATAATTTTTTGGGTGTAAATTACGACTGTAAAAGACATAATCGATGTCAAAATATTATGATCAATCACAAAAGTTACGTCTTTTAGAAGTATTAATGACCGATCACAACATTTCATGATCGATCGTGATTAACTCCATTCAGTTGCAACTTCACTTTTAAAAGTTATAATTTGACCTATGAAAATAACTTCTGATTTAAAAAAAAATTCCAGTGCCACAGAGCTATCCATTGAAGAGAGGTGTTACCAACCAAATAGCTGCATTACAATAAGTCTTGTTTATCTAGCAACAATAACAAAACTAGGTACATATCGGTATGTAACATACGGACAACTACGAATAATAGCATTCCAGCAACTCCTTAGAATGGAGTTTCGACAGCAACATAAGGAAAAAGCAAAAAAAAAAAAAAAAACAGACGCATAATGAAAAAAAAAAGAAGCACAATCGGAGCAAAATAGGGTAGAATCAGAGCAGGATGGGGTAGAATCAGATCAAGAAAAAAAAAAAAAAAACCAGAATCGGTGAAGGAGCAGAAGACAGAAGAAAAAAAAAATTAAAGAGAGAAGAAGAAGAGACTAACCTCCACAGACCAGCCCTCCAAACCCTCAGTCCAGCAACAACAATGGTGTACAAGTAGCGAAAACTCGAAGCCTTGGAGTGTAGCACTGGAGAACAGTACCGATCGTGTAGCAGTGGAGAGCAGCAGTGGAGAGCAGCACCAAATCCGTCGTGTAGCAGTGGAGAGGAGCACCGATCGATCGTGTAGCAGTGGAGAGCAGCACTGATCGAAGCAGCAGCGATTGAAGCAGGGGAGAGCAGCACCGATCGATCGTGTAGCAGACAACACCGATTGAAGCAGGGGAGAGCAGCACCGATCGATCGTGTAGCAGGCAGCACCGATCGATCGTGTAGCAGGCAGCACCGATTGAAGCAGGGGAGAGCAGCATCGATCGATCGTGTAGCAGGCAGCACCGATCGATCGTGTAGCAGGCAGCACCGATTGAAGGTATCTGTAAAAAAATTAACAAAATTAGGTTAGGAGTTTTATTTATAGGATAAGGGAATAATTCGGTACATTAACATCTTAAAATTTTTTTTTGCAATCGCCCAATCCTACGGTCTAAATTAAAAATTCGCCTCGCATAACAAAAGCGATCGCTTCTTCGCTTTTTTCGCTTCTTCGCTTTTTCGCTTTTCCTCGCTTTTTTCTCGCCTCGCTCAGGTTCGCTTCGCCTGGGTTCCTCCAGGCGAGCAAGTCTCGCCTCGCCTCGCTTCTCGCCTAGGCGAGCGCCTAGGCGCGCTTTTCATAACACTGCTTCAAACCTTGTTATCTTTTGTCTATCAACAAGTATCTTTAGAGGAGACGAATAAAATGTTTTTTTTTTCCGGTCATAGATAAAAAAGTATAAAAAATCATGTTGTTTTGAGACTTTGTTAAGTTGAAGTTTTAGATTGCAACTGCTCTACCGTTCTGCTCGCCTAAATCATCACTATGAAGTTTGTCGATTAATTATTTAGATCTCTAATATTTAAAATATTATGTACACATTTTTTGAGGTTTATACGCATATAACACTTTGACCCTTACGGTTAATGTCAATTAGAATATTCGTTAATAAATTATACAAAGACACCTTAAAGTTTATAGACGTGTAATATTTAAATCCCTCAAGTTTAAAATATTATACTTAGACAAAAAAAATACTTTAATCAAAGATAAAATATCAAATATTTTAAATTTTAAAACCTAAATTCATGTTATATTATGTCATATTTATTAAAATAAAATCAAAAAAAAATTAATTTTGTCCATATTTAGGTATTACGTGACAAATTTATGATTAAAAATCGTGAGTAATTTGGACGTTGTCTGCATGAAGGATCATATAGAAATATATTCAACACTTGAAGAAACATAATAATAAAATTGAATTATTGAGGACCAAAATGAGAAAAATCTTATATATTTTGGGGACCAGTAGTATAATTAACCTTAAAACTAAAAAATAAACAAAGGGTTTAAGTCACTCATAATAGAACATGAATTTTATAATTAAAATTCATATTCTATTATATCATTTATTGAAATAAAATTAAAAAAAAATTATTTAATTGTTCTTAAAAATTAATAATTAATATACAATTATACTAATGTATTGTATCATTGGTTGAAAAAATTTTATCTTTGATTGAAGTATTTTTTGTTTAAGTATAAATTTTAAACTTGAGAGGTCTAAATATTACACGCCTACAAATTTCAGGCAGTCTGGATGTAATTTACTGACAAATATATTAATAAATATTGATGACAGAGGTTTAAGTATTACGCGCGTATAAATTTGAGGAAGTCTGTGTGTAATATTTAAATATCAGAGAATCTGAGTAATTTAGTGACAAACTTCAATGAATTTGAATATAATTCTCCCTAAATTATATTAGTAAATTATATCCAAATAATACTTTTTTTTTTCCAGAATACAAACTTGTATATTGGTAATGAAAACAAAATGTACATAGAAGCTTGCCTTCAAACCAAAATAGGCAATCATATGTTGTTTAACAATTGACGTAAAACAGAAGTGGTAAGAACAAAATTCTCTTCCACAGCCGCGTGGGAGTTTTCCGATGAAGCAGCGTCATATATGAACGGTGTTCACTTTGATCAACCAAAGAAAAGTAGGAGGAAGAAAGAAGAGAATATTATTGAGGCACAATTAATCAGAACAAAGCTTAAAGGAAAATTACATATAAAAAGTCTTTATATAATAAACTAAGCTAGGGCAACATAAAAAAAAACAATGAATAAACTACCCCTAAGTCTAAATTAGTCTAATTCTATCTCTATTCATTCCATTTGAAGAAAGGAAGGATCCCAAAGAATCGATCTTTTTTTTTAGTTGTTGAATCTCTCTTTGATTGATCAATGTGTGATAGTCTGAATCCTCATTACTAATGGAATCCAAACAATCTCTGGATTGATCAGAAGATCCTTTCAATTGGCTAGAATCCGTTACTTGAACGAAACTAGATCTTGTGGAATCATATTGAATATATACATTTGATACCTTGCTAAAAAATCGATCCTCGTTTACCTTTTCCAATCACACATTGTCTAACCAAATCAAATTCTCCCTTTATATGTTCATCAAAAAAACTGATTGGGGAGGATTATTCCCCCAACTAACGAAGAGATCTTGGCAGAATTGCCACATATGAAATTGAGTACAATTTTGCAAAGAAATAGCTCACATGGGTGTGCTATAAAAGTAGGAGAAGAACAGAACTAAATGGATCAATTCCTTTGATCGGTCATTTCAAGCTTCCAGTTCTTTTGGATTGCTAACGTAGTTCGATGACGCCGATGGAAGGAACCATAGGAAATTCATCCAACTTCGATCCTCTAAAGGCAAGTGCGTAGGCTATAGAATCCCAAATATAGCGCCTTCGGCTCTAAACTACTAATGTGCTTATTTGGTCTATCAGCTACTCAACCATCTACTGACCTAATTGGGAGCTTTTCAGTCAAGGTCGTCGAATTTAGAGGTCCTTTCTTTCGCAAGGGTCCAAATCATTCCATTAGGGAGAAAGCAAGAATGATTCATACATAGATGAATAGTACCATTAAATCATGTCTATCAATGCAATAGCTTAGAAGCAACCTATGTGGTTTTACACCAAATGGCTCCTAGAGCTAACTACTAGCAAGAACTATGCTTATTTTAGGGCTCCTAAAGTTATGGAATTGCTCTGCTTCTAAGCTACTATATTTAGCTATCTAGGATCTGCAATTCTTTTATATTAAATACCTTCCTAAGCATGAAACTTTCTCCTCTCTTGAAGCTATTGTCCTATAAGGGATTGTAAGGAAGGAAAGTAAAGCTAAAGATCCGCAATTCAAAATGAAGTGACTCTTACAATCTCTTATAATGGAGCTTTCTTCATTTCTCCTGCTTTTCTTTAGCTCTAGTTGTAGGTTATGATTGGTGCTAGCAAGCAGTACCACAAGCGCCCCACCCCCCCTTTTTTCCCTCTAAAGCCCTTCGCGCTAGTTATTTTATCACTTCTAATCAGACCTGACTGAACTAATTGGGAACGACATAGATCAAAGGGTCGTTCATTAGTCCTACTAGTAAAGCACAAGAAAAAGAGGGATTGATTTCGATCTTGCTTTTAGTTGTAAGGCTTGATTTTGACTTATAGGGCGCTTAAGCTTAGCTAATCAAACAAGTGAGCCTGTTGTTATAGAAGAAGCTACTCTTGGCCTTTTGCTTGGCACTAGGAAGAGAAAAGAAAGATCTTAGGGCTAGGCGTTAGGCCCTTTAGTACAATTAAGAGATCATATTTCACTTCAAGAACTAGTTTTTTTTATCCAGTCTTCAAGAACTAGTTCAAATACCCCTCATCAAGCGGAAGAAATGCTTGCTCTCGGCTTTATGTTAGCAAGTTGCCATTGGACTTGGCTAGTAAGCCAGAAATACATCAAGTACCTGTTCTTTAGTTTTCAAAGAAAATGCCCACATTTTTCTAGAGTGATCATCAATAAAAATCACATAATATAATGCGCCACCAAGAGATTTCGCTTTCATAAAGCAAACATGAATATGAACTAAATCCAAAATATTATCTTTTATAGAGGGAGGAGAATTAACAAATGAAATTCTATTTTATTTTTCAATATGACAATGAGTGCAAGACTGTAGTAGCGTACCATTAATGTCAGTACGAGTTGCTCCTTATCAAGAATCTAAATTCCCTCTCAGACACGTGACCTATTCCCTTATGTCATGGCTCTGTGGAAGAATCCTACTCAACTAAGTTCATATTACCCTTGATTACGTCTACCTTTGTCTTGTAGAAAGTGTTGATCTTCTTTCGCTCGACTGAGATTAGAGAACCCTTGTTAAGTTTCCATTTTTAGTCACCTAGGTGATTATGATAGCCTTCATTATCAATTTTTTCAATGGATATCAAGTTGAAGAGCAATTTTGGAACATGCCTGACATCCTTGAGAAGCAATTTACACCCAATGCTGGTTTCTAGCAATATATCTCCAATGCCCGTAATCTTGCTCTTTGTTTTGTTTTCCATCTTAGCCTAACCAATATACCATTGGAATGGGAAGAGAATAAATCTTTGCGTGGAGTAATGTAAAAGTAAGTTGCAGTATCAATTTAGAGTCTTGACATGTGAGATTAGCGTAGGCATCATCACAAACAATAATTACATCAACCTCATATGCAATTGCTGCAGTATTATTTTTATTTTTCTTTTCTTCCTTTTTTTGAGATTGCTCTCGTTTCCACTTTTTGCACTCTCTCTTATAGTTTCCGAGTTTTCCATAATGAAAACACTTTATCCCCTTTCTAGACTGCTCAATTTTTGATTTGGATCTTCTTCTTAACTTGTCACAATTGCCTTTATCGTAATTTCTAGTTTTACTACTTTCTCGATCTTCTATAACAAGTGCTTTTGAATAAGAAGAAATATCATGTTATTTGTATCTGACCTCTTCATTAAACATACTATCTTTCACCCTATTGATATTGATCACACCATTAGGAGCCCAGTTACAGAGTGACATAACTAGGGTTTCTTAGCTATCTGGTAAGGAACTTAATAGAAGTAATGCTTGCACCTCATCATTGAGCACAAGCTTCATGGTGGACAGCTCATTCAACAATTTTTGAAAATTATTCAAATGTTCTGCAATATGATGTCCATCATTATACTTCAAGTTCACAAGCCTTCGGATCATAAAGGCTTTATTTTGTGCAATCTTGTGCTCGTAGAGACTCTCTTGTGTTTGCCAAATTTGGTAAGCTTCAATTTCTTTAGCTACATGATGAAAGGCACTTGGATCTATCCAATGTCTAATATGTCCGACTGCTTGCACCATTCTTCCTCGATTCTTGTCAACAATGGTTTGATGCTCTTCAATTCAATAGGCTCAAACAAATATTTCCAATACAAGATATAATTTATCTTAGTCTTCTAAATGGAGTAATTTGAT